CATACACATTCTGGGGTGATGCTATACTTACTGCATGCTATCTCATTAATCGCATGCCATCATCTGTTCTCAATCATAAGGTAGCTCACTATATTTTATTCCCCCATCAGACTTTATATCCTTTAACTCCACATGTGTTTGGTTCTACGTGTTTTGTTCATCATCTTGGTCCAGGTTTGGATAAATTGGCTCCCAAGTCTCATAAATGTGTTTTTATGGGTTATCCTCGGTCTCAGAAGGGTTACCGTTGCTACTCTCCCACTTTACGTCGGTACTTTATCTCGGCGGATGTCTCCTTCTTTGAATCAGTTCCCTTTTTTGGACCATCTACTACTCTTGTGGATACTGATTCTGTGCAGTCGTCCTTCCCGGGTGATCTTCTTTACCTTCCGCCTTTACCCGTTTATGTTCCTGACTCTCCTTCTATCACCTCTTCTGCTGATGAGATCGAGCATAGTTCGTCAGATGTCTCTGTGGACTCACATTCACCTGCATCTCCTCCCACAGCTTCGGTCCCACCTTCGGATAGTGACCTTCCCATATCTCTTCGGAAGGGTACTCGTGATACTCGCCCTCCGGCCAGGTATACAGTCAATATTAGTTATCATCGTCTTTCTCCATCATATTTTGCTTGCCTTTCCTCTTTGTCCTCTGTCTCTGTTCCTAAGACTACAGGTGATGCACTTTCACATTCGGGATGGAGACAAGCTATGATTGATGAGATGAGTACTCTTCATCATAATGGCACATGGGATCTGGTGCCTCTTCCTTCTGGCAAATCTGTTGTTGGTTGCAGATGGATTTATGCTGTTAAGGTTGGACCTGATGGTCAAGTGGATCGTCTTAAAGCTCGCTTGGTAGCGAAGGGTTTTACTCAGGTCTTTGGCTTGGATTTCATTGATACTTTTTCTCCTGTGGCGAAAATGTCTACTGTCCGCCTTTTTATTGCTATGACTGATATTCGCCATTGGCCTCTCTACCAACTGGATATCAAGAATGCTTTTCTTCATGGTGATCTTGAGGAAGAAATTTATATGGAGCAACCTCCTGGATTTGTTGCTCAGGGGGAGTCAGGTCTTGTTTGTCGTCTTCAGAAGTCTCTCTATGGCCTCAAACAATCTCCAAGAGCATGGTTTGGAAAATTTAGCAGTGTTGTTCAACAATTTGGCATGTCTCGGAGTGCAGCTGATCATTCTCTCTTTTATTGGCATTCTGCTTCTGGATCTATTTATCTGGTGGTATATGTGGATGATATTGTCATCACAGGCAGTGATCGGCATGGGATCACTCGATTGAAACAACACTTATGTCATCACTTTCAGACTAAGGATCTTGGGAAACTTCGATACTTCTTAGGAATCGAGGTGACCCAATCTAAAACTGGTGTTGTAATATCTCAGAGGAAATATGCTCTGGATATTCTTGAAGAAACTGTTCTGTTAAATTCAAAATCTGTTGATACTCCTATGGATCCAAGTATCAAGCTTCTACCAAATCAAGGGGAGCCCTTTTCAGATCCTGAGCAGTATAGAAGATTGGTTGAAAAATTGAACTACCTCATAGTCACTCGACCTGATATTTCCTTTGTCAGTCAATTTCTCAATTCTCCATGTCAAGAACATTGGAATGCAGTCATTCGTATTCTTCAGTATATTAAGGCATCTCTAGGAAAAGGCCTTGAATATGAAGATAAAGGTCATGATAAAATGGTTGGGTACTGTGATGCTGATTGGGCTGGTTATCCAGCTGATAGGAGATCTACTTCCGGGTACTGTGTCTTTGTTGGAGGCAACTTGATTTCCTGGAAGAGTAAGAAACAAAGCGTAGTTGCCTGGTCAAGTGCTGAAGCAGAATACCGCTCCATGGCGACTACTACTTGTGAGCTCATCTGGCTTAAACAGCTTCTCAAAGAGCTTAAGTTTGGAGACACTGGACAGGCAACTCTCATTTGTGATAATCAAGCAGCTCTTCACATTTCATCAAATCCAGTGTTTCATGAAAGAACCAAGCATATAGAATTAGATTGTCATTTTATTCGAGAAAAGGTGCTGGTGAAATTAAAACTAGCTTTGTACCCTCTAATAAGCAATTAGCAGATGTGTTTACAAAATCTTTGAGGGGCCCTCGAATAGAGTTTATATGTAACAAGCTTGGTGCATATGACCTATACGCTCCAGCTTGAGGGGGAGTGTTAGAAATATTGTAATTAGGTTTTCCTTATTTTGTAATTAGGGTTTCCTTATTTTGTATTAGGTCAGATTACATTAGGTTTGGGCTTAGCCCATTAGTTTGCTTATATATTGTACATCCCTCATTTGTTAAATACACACAGAAATATTTCAAATGTTCCTCTCTTTTCTCTTGTTATTTAACAAATGTCTTAGAAATCCCTTTTAGATTAAGCCTTAAGCGCGATAAATTATAAAAGTTTGCAATTCCTACAAGCCTATGTCTAGATCATGCAAGAATTGGTGTTCTACCCCTGTCGAGATCAAGATCCCAATATGTCTATTGTGAACCCTAACCTTTTTTATCCCTATATACTTGGCCAGATCAGACAAGAATTTAAACATGCAAATCAAGGTAAACACAAATAATTTTATACAGTTTATTAATGAAAAGAATTAAACCAAAACAAGGATTCACGTTGGATCAATATTCCTAACTACAAAAGAAACTTACCTACACATAACTAGCTTAACCAAAATAAAGAAAGAAAAGAAAATAGAAGAAGAAGAAATCAAAGGTGCTCAAATTCTTCCAGTTCTTCTTTCTGAAATTCTTCAATCTCCAGCAAAAGCTTCTTTGTACTCTGAATGTGCTCGCCTACTTTGTGTTTCCAAGAGTTGCCTTTTTATAGTGATGAAACCATATCATTTAATTTTTTATAAGATCTTCAATGGAATCTTCATTAGAATATCCAATCATATCTTTAATCAAATCCTTAAAATCCTCCCTTTTATATTTAAAGGAAAACTTTCCTTAAAAATATTCAAGAGAATCTTCAATAACATCTTCAATCAATTATATGATTCAAAAATCCAAAGCAAATCCACTTGAGCTCTCCAATTTATCTCTTTATTGAGCTGAAAATTACTACAAAATATAAGAATTTTTATGAGAATCTTAATGAGAATAAAATAATAATTTAATTACAATTCTCATATCTTTTAATTATTTTAAATTAATTTCATGCTCATATTAACCCTTAATACATAATATATTGGATACACATCAAACAATTCTCAGGTTTGGACATTGTTATCCACAGCAATAAACTAGAATAAACAATATGAAGCAATAAAGCAACTTTGTGAGAGGAAACACATGAAATTTGTAAGAACCTGCACCGTTAATTAAGGAAGTTAATTAATTAATCATGTGAAATTAGAAAATAATTCCATAATTGACCCTAATAATTATTATGAGGCTTTAATAATTATAGTAAGTGAGTAATAATACTTAAAGTCGCTTTTCTAACGAAAAGTGCAGATACCGGTTCTGCTACTCGGTATAAATGCGTACCGAAGAAGTATCCCGAAAAATTATGAAAAGTGTGTATATGTCACTAGAATAATATATAGGACTTGTAAAACAAGCTTCAAGTCAAAATGACGAGAACTGGTGTCAGAACTAATATTGTCAGCGTGAAAGCGCCTACCCGAAAAGTACTGCAAAAAAATAAAATAAAAATATAAAAAAAATCTTAGAAAAAAGGATAGGTTCAGAATCTTAATTTTGGGATTAAAATAATAAGCGTAGCTATTAACGCTAATACTGCGCGATTAACTTAAGCGCGCCTATAAATACCCAAGGGCACATGATCTTAGGTCAGCCCTTCATCTTCTACGTAGCATTTTCTGAACCTAGGGAGGCAGCCACCTTCTCCCATCTTCTATCCTCCATTTAAGCTCCAAGAGAGCACATTTCCACTTAGTTCCTTCACCAAAGTTGCTTATAAGAGTGTGCTCTAACCATGGGTGGGAAAAAGTCCAGCCATTTCTGAGTTGTGGGTGTTGTGGTGAGTGAGGGAGCTGCTGACTTTGTGGTTGTGAGGTGTGGGAGCCATCTCCATGCCATTTTGAGCTTCATGGTGCCATTTTGATGGAGAAATGTCCAACCTTGTGGTACATTTTCGTGCTCTTGCAGAGTCAGAACCTTGAGCCTTGTTAGAGAGCTCCAAGAGCCTACTTTTCTGCAGAGTTTGAACCTCCATAGTTATACCTTGAACATTCCCTTTGAAATTTCACGAAAATAGCTTGTTTATGTCATGAAAAGAGATAACCTTGATTAATCAAGTTAAATATTGTTAATCCATGTTTAATTAGTATTGTTGAACCACTGTTTTGTGCCAAAACCGAACCTTGGACCTTGGGGAAGCCTTGGGTCTCGGATTATGCAAAAAAATTCTGCAGAAAATTGTTCTACCCGCGTGGTAATCGATTACTTTTTGTTGGTAATCGATTATCATGTGCAGTAATCGATTACCCTGTTTTTGGTAATCGGTTACCTAGTTCAGTAATCGATTACCATGTCCTTAGTAATCGATTACCACCTGTGAAAATGACCAGAAACCAGTTTTATGCGTGGAAAAGTCCCCTTTTGGGCATGATGGCCTGGGAAGTTGGTGTTACTGTTGGGAAACAGTGATACATTTGATTGAGGGACTTAATGCTTGATAATTATGAACTAGAAAAGATGTAATCGAATAAGGAAATGTTGTCATATTGAAATGAACCTTTAAAGTATGGTTATTGATGATATTTCTGATATAAACAGATTGTGATTGTGTTGTTTGTGGGCATTGAGCTAGTGTGTGCTTGGCTTGGATAGTTTGCTTGCGAGGTAAGCTTTCATGTCCTCGGTTTAGCCATTGTTTGTTCCACCATGTCCCATGGGGGATGGTTATATGCATGATGTGTTTTCATGTATTGTTTTGTTGAAATGCTATTGAACTGTTAGATGGATGCTCACACCCGTGTGGGAGTGGAGTTAGAGGGATGCTAGTAGGGAATGAATCCTCGTTGCTTGAGTGCATCCCGTGTGGAGAGAATTATAAGGGTACTTGCGGGAAAGGACAAAGAGTATGTTTCAGATATGGCCAGCCAGGCCATCTTATAATAGGGTGCGCTTCCAAAACGGAGCGAGCTGCAGGAATACACAGTGTTTCAGTATATCCCTTAGAAAGGACAGCTGGATCGACGTCTAAGGACTTCGAGAAAATTCGTGTGAACCACGAGGCAAAGAAAATTAAAGAAACTGAGGCTATAAGAAACAGTGGTTCCATTTCCTGGAAGGGCAGGAAGTTTGGGGGCAGAGGTAAAGGGAAGCAGCTTCAAGTCAAACAAATGTGCAACAAATTCAAGAGGTCTATTTCTCTGATAAACAACTTTGCTAGACCTTTGATTATCCCGCAGTGTGTAGGTTGCGGAAAGGAGCATTTGAGACGATGTGCTACTAGAGAGTTGCTATGTTACAAATGCGGGAAGAGTGGCCATATTGCTAAGGATTGTTATAATTTAGTTGTTATGGCCGCAGCAGTTCAAACGGCCCCCTTCAGATGTTTCCTGGGAATGCAGCAAGACCTCCTATTCTCAGATGCACGAGATGTGGGAAGTTTCATCTAGGGTCGTGTGCTACTGGCCATACTATCTGTTTCCAGTGTGGCCAGGAGGGCCACTATGCTAGAGAGTGTTTGTCTTCTGTGGCCAGGGCTGCAGCAGTTTTGACGGCTCCTATTCAGATGTTTCCTACACTATCAGAGACTGACCGGGTTTATGCACTGGATCGGCAGCTGTCGGACCGAGCTCCGAACCTTGTCAGAGGTACTGTTTCCATTGGGGAATTGTTGTTGATGTTTTGTTTGATTCCAGGGATACGCATTCTTTATTGCAACCCAGATTGTTGTGGGGCTTGAGTTGCCATGTGCTTTCTCCACCGTTGTGGTTGACCACCGCCACCGGAGAAAAGTGAGATTCTACCACTGTACATCGAGATGTCGTGTTTCAATGGAATGGCCGTGAGTTCTCGGTAGATCGGGTGGGATTACCGATGGCTAATTTTGGAAATCATCCTTGGCGTGGATGGATTGTCCAATAGTTGTGCGATGATTGATTGATTGTTGTGCTTAGCGAGTGGTGATGTCTCCGTGTGATTCCACAGTCAGTTCCTCGCCTTTTATTGCTACGGGCTAGGAGAGCCTTGTGAGCAGGGACATTGGTTATGTCATCTTGGGAGGTTCGGTGAGTGGGACACATGAGGATCTCACTGGCATTCATGTGGTGAAGGAATTCCTCGAGGTGCTTCCTGAGGAGATTCCTGAGTGTCCGCCACAATGGGAGATAGCGTTCTCCATTGAATTGTTGCCTGGTGTGGGGCCTTGTTATTAGCTCCAAACTGGATGTCGCCACCAGAGTTGGCTGAGTTGAAGTAGCATTCTGAGGGTCTTTCGGCGAAAGACTTCATCCGACCGAGCGTGTCTCCATGGGAAGCACCAGTCATGTTGTTATTGAGGCAAGATGCCTTACACCATTACTTAATTGTGATGGTGCTTTGTTGGAGAATGTGAAATTCTCTTCGAGGAAAAGTAAGTGTGTAACACTTGAACTTTGTGGCAAGGCCACGCGCGATCTTGTATACGCGAGTCTGTACGTGTACAAGTAGTTGTGAGTTGAGTGGTCTCCATGACTCTAGGTTAATATGTTATTATTGATTTGCTTCATAAGTAGTTGGCATGTTAACACCATGGATAGTGTTAAGTATGAAATAAGTGTGATAAATGATGGTAATGTAGCAATGTTATTTCACCTTTAATTGACTTTCGATTTTGCAGATGCCATGGAGGTTGAGGTATATTGTTGCATAGAGTTTTGATTCATTATGTTATTGAAATTAAAAATTTTGCAGGTGTACGTGAACTAAGGTACGTTACTATGTGAATGAATATGTTAAATAACATGTATTGGTTGAAATGAACATGATTATGATTTCGTACTGTGAAATGAATATGAATTTATGTTGAGTGTAAGAACCCGCACCGTTAATTAAGGAAGTTAATTAATTAAATGTGTGAAATTAGGAAATAATTCCATAATTGACCCTAATAATTATTATGAGGCTTAAATAATTATGGTAAGTGAGTAATAATGCTGAAAGTCGCTTTTCTGACGAAAAGTGCAGATACCGGTTCTGCTACTCGGTATAAATGCGTACCGATGAAGTATCCCAGAAAATTACGAAAAGTGTTTATACATCACTAGAATAATATATAGGAATTGTAAAACTAGTTTCAAGTTAAAATAATGAGAACTAGTGCCAGAACTGATACTGCCTATGGAAAAGCGCGTACCAGAAAGGTGTTGCGAAAAATAAAATAAAAATATGATAAATCTTGTAAAATTGAGTAGGTTCAGATTCCAAAGTTTGAGATTAAAATACTAAGCGTAGCAATTAGCGCTAATACTGTGCGATTGAGATTAAGTGAACTATAAATGCAACTTTTGCACAGAATCCTAGGCCATATTGGCTTCCTACGTGAGTGCTCCAGCAGCTGAGTGTCTCTCTTCTTGTCACCTTCACCTTCCCTCACTCTCTTGAGCCAAAGGAGCCATTTTTACTCATGGTTTCTTCACCAAAATACCTTGGCCTTGTGTAAGCTAGCATTGGGAGGGGGAAAGGACCACCATTTCTGAGTTTTAGCTTCTGTGTGTGAGGAGTAGTGGGGCTGACTTGGTGGTAAGGGTTGTGTGAGCCTTTGTGGTAGCATTTTGAGGTTCAAGAAGCTTTCTTTGTGAAGAAATGAACCACCTTGTGTGCCATTACGTTTCTTTGCAAGTCAGAACTATGAGGACTTGGTGGGAAGCTCCAAGAATGTTCATTTGATGAGTTTAAGCTTGGGTAAGCTTCATCACCCTTGAACTTGAGTTTTCTTGATTAAAAATGGAACCTTGATGCATGTATGGATTAAAGATCATAACTTAAGGTTGGGTAATGTTAAACACACCATTAAATACATGTTTAAGCTTCTGGAATCATGAAATGAGCAACCTTTGGGAAGGATATCTCGTGAAATGCATAACTGCATTCTGTCACGAAATATCCGGATATGATATCCGGATATTGATATCCGGATATGGGGTCTTCTGATATCAGAATATGGATATCCTGATATGATATCCGGATATGGATATCCGGATATGCCCCCGACAAATATCCGGATATTCTGGGTTTTCGAAGAACAGTAGCTGCACTGTTCATACAGAAGGCTACTGGGGGTTAGTGGATCCTAGATTGATGGAGTTTAACTTCTGTAATAATTAAACTAAGTCAGAATCAAGTGATTAAGGGCTTGAGGCTTTGTGAGGAGCCTAAAGACGTAAAACGTTAAGGAGAGGCATTGTCTTTTATTGTATGCTTGTGGAGTATGAATATTGATGTTATAATTGGTCCATAACAGATTGTGATTCTACTGTGTTTGGCCTTTGAGCTAGTGTGGACTCTTGTCTTGGATTGTTAGCTTGCAAGGTAAGCTTTTGTGTCCTCGGTTTAGCCATTGTTGGTTTCACCATGTCCTATGGGGGGATGGTTTATATGCATGATGTTGTTTTCATGTATTGTTTTGTTGAAATGTTATTGAGCTATTAAGTGCATTTTGCTCATGATATGTATGTGGTGTTACGCCTAAACAGGAGGCCATGGGGTGGTCCTGTGGGCGGGTACAACATGGGCGTGTACTGTGTGGGTAATAGACGTATTCCTGCACTTTTCTGATCAGTAGAATAGTTATAACACACATGACATGAATATTTGTTGCATTGCACTGATTTTGGAACTTATACTGTTGAACTGCTTTTGAACTTATATTGCACATGTAAGTGAGCTTGGGGTGGAAGATCCTTGAGGACCCCTTGTCTTACTGAGATTTCTTTTTAGAGATCTCACCCCACGTTTGGGGCACTATTTTAGGTTCAGGTAATGCGGGAGTTGATGCCTCTAGCGGCAGAAGGTCGGAGCTTAGTTGATTATATATGATGTATGCTGACATGACTGGATATTGGATGTTGTTTATGTTTTCTGCCATTATTATGATATTTGAATTGAGACTATGTTGGGCTTGTTGCCTTATTTGGTGAGCATGGGGTTTGTCCATGATGCTTTGATGTTAGTACCATTTTAGCTTTAGTTGTATAAACTATCAGGGTTGTCCGGTCTACGTGTTGTAGTTCCGTGACTAGAGACATATTTATATTATTTATATATTGAGGTATTTCAGTTAGCTGTCTTTTGCAATTTACATACAGGCAATGTTTTGGAAATGAATTAAGTATTTCAACTTGGTAATGATAATGACGTCATAATTGAAAGTAAAAAGTTATTCTGCATTTTTAAATTAAGTGTGGCTTAATACGATGACATGTTAACAAACTGGGTTAACACAAAGTGTTAAATTTTATGGTATCATAGCACTTTCTAGGGAAAAAGACTGTATGTATTGCAATAACTTAGGATGTTGTGTTGTGAGTTGTGTCTGTGTGTTCTCTCTATTGGGTTTTGCTATGATGATGCATATGTGATCACATTGCATGGGCCTGATCAACTCACTCTTTGTGTAACTTTTGCAAAGTCATGTTACTACCTCGGAGGAACCGAGACACTAGCGAGGATCAACCTGATCCTGTCCTGGCTGCATTGGCTGAGATGTAGGCGGCCCGACTAGCCCACCAGGAGGCCATGAGAATGGCAAACCAGGCTACGTTGGACGCCGTGAGAGAGGCGAACAGGAAAGCCACTGAGGATGTACTGGAGGCGAATCGCCTGGCGAACATGACTTTGATGAGGGCCATGTTGGAGGAGATGAGGGATGGTCCTGCTGTTGGTCAGTTCCCTCCGCCACCACCTCCACCGCCACCACCACCTCTACCTCCACCTAGCCTTCAGGACGAGAGCCTGAGCCATATTGAGGGCACTGGTCAACTCACTGGGGTGATGGAACCCTATGTGGAGCCTGCTGAGGACCGCGATACTATAGACCGCCGGCTTAATGCTTTCCACAAGCATAAGCAACCTTCCTTCGATGAGTCGCTTGATCCCATTGCTGCTGCGAGATGGCTGCAGGCATTGGAGAAGATCTTCCGGGTTATGCAGTGTACCGACCCGCAGAAGCTGATGTTCGCTACTTACATGCTGGAGGGCGATGCCCATGAGTGGTGGATGAACACCTCTCGTGCTTATGATATGCAGGGTCATGTTATGACATGGCCATTCTTCGAGGACTGCTTTTTGGGCAGATACTTCCCTTACGATGCGCAAGAGAGGAAGCAGGGGGAGTTTGATAGATTGGTGCAGGGCTCGATGTCTGTTGACGAGTACCTGGCCAAGTTTAACGAACTTGTGAAGTTCTCCCACTTTTGGATGGCGGTGCCCACTCCTACCTTTTTGGCTGCTAAATTCTGCAGGGGACTTAGTGAGGTGATTGCAGAGCATATTGCTGGAGCTGCATCGAGAGATTTTTGTACACTGGTATAGCAGTGTAAGGACATTGAGGATGTCTGCATTACGAGTAAGGCCAAGAGGCCCAAGATTGCTGAGACGAAGGGAACTGGTAGTTCCACTTCCTGGAAGGACAGGA